GCTGCGGTTTCCTTGCGCAACCTCCGCTGCCGAGTTTGCTGCATCCCGGGGTCTGGGGAGGGCGCACCAGGGACCCCGTCTGTGGTGATGGGCGCCCCCCAGCAGGGTGGGCAGGCACTCCCTTTAGGGTGCTCACTAGGGTGTTGGGGGCCTGAAAGGAGCAGGAGGACTCAGTTTCCCCCTCGGTAGGGTAGACGTCTGGGCTGCCGTAACCAGAGGTGCTGTGCAGACCCGCCCCCCTCCCCCACCGGCCAGGAAGGATCGGAGCGCCCCCATCATGGGCTGGGGAGCTGGTGGGAGCTGCACTCCGCACCCACCCATCCGCCAGCAGCCGGCGTCCGAGACCCGCGTGGTCACTGTGGTCTTCCTGGGCCTCCTGCTGGACCTCCTGGCCTTCACTCTGCTGCTGCCCCTGCTGCCCGGGCTGCTGGAGAGCCACGGCCGTGCACATGTGAGCCCTCCTCACCCCTCCACCCCCAAGCCTGACCCCCAGGTGGGTGCCCACTCCCCCGGCTCTCATGCTTCCTGCCCCCCAGGACCCTCTCTATGGCTCCTGGCAGCGAGGGGTGGACTGGTTTGCTGCAGCCATCGGGGTGCCCGCAGAGAAGAGATACAACAGCGTCCTGTTCGGAGGTGTGGCCCTGAGCCCCATGCTGGGAGCCCCTGGTCCTATCTTCCTGGCCCCCCCCCCCTTCCCTCCCCGACCTCCCATCATCCAGGTCCTCCTTACTCCTCACACCTCCTTACTCCTGGGCACCATCTGCTCCCTCTGTGTCCACTCTGTCATAGCCACCTTGGCTTTGAGGTCCATGGCCTGGGAGTGCCGGGCCAGGTGAGCAGACCCTTGGGATGGAGACTGAGGTGTGGTGACCCTGACTTCTGTCTCCTTCAGGTCTGATTGGCTCAATCTTCTCAGTCCTGCAGTTCCTCGGGGCACCGCTCACAGGGGCCGTCTCTGACTGCCTGGGGAGGCGCCCAGTGATGCTGCTGTCCCTGGTACGGGTGCCCCTGGGGTGGTACCTGAGGGGCCAGCAGCTCCTGTGTCTAAGCCAGGCTGGCCCAGAGCCGTTTCTGCCACCCAGCGGACGTTGGGGACACAAGGGCCCTTGGGTGCTGCAGACAGGGCAGGGACCCAGGGGTGCTGGTGGCCCCAGTCAGCCCCTCCTGGCCTGAAGTGACCGCGCCTACCCTTGGCTCCTGCCCCGAGGCAGGCAGGTCTGGCCACCTCTTACGCTGTGTGGGCTGCCTCGGAGAGCTTCGCCGCCTTCCTGGCCTCCAGGGTGATTGGCGGCATCAGCAAGGGGAACGTCAGTCTCTCCACGGCCATCGTTGCCGACCTGGGCTCTCCGACTGCCCGAAGCAGAGGCATGGTGGGTGCACGGGCTGGGGGTCGAGGGCCCGGAGGGGCTCCGGGGCCTGGTCGCCCTCCTGACTCAGGTGGCTTCTCCCCAGGCAGTCATCGGAGTGGCCTTCTCACTGGGCTTCACGCTGGGCCCCATGCTGGGCGCCTGCCTCCCTTTGTGGATGGCACCCTGGCTCGCCCTGCTCTTCGCTGTCTCAGACCTGCTATTTCTCTTCTGCTTCCTGCCGGAGACACTGCCCCCAGAGAAGCGGGTACGGAGGAACCCAGAAACCACCTACAGGTTCCGAGGGTTAGGTTCCCTGGGCATGTAGGGAGCCTGTCGCAGGTGCCCAGTCCTGGGTGCCAGGGGAGGCCAGACAGCCCTCTCCTGGTGCCCGGAGGCTCTTGGGGACACAGTGCCTCCTGGGGTCCCTATGCTTCCCAGCCCCTGCCTCTGAGGCCTGGTAGGTGGGATGGAGGCCAGGCGGCTGGTCATGCCCCTCCCCGGGCTGCCCCCCAGGCCTCCAGTAGCCTCTCCAGTTCTGCCCCCTCCAGGCACCCTCCCTCACCCTGGGCTTCCGAGCTGCTGCCGACCTGCTCAGTCCCTTGGCCCTGCTGCGCTTCTCCGCTGTGGCCCATGGCCAGGACCCGCCCACTGGAGACAGTAAGGAGTGGCCCCTCATGAGGGTGGAGCTCCACCAGCTGCTGTTGGGCGGTGGACCCCTCATGCCCTTGCCCCGCTGCCCCCCAGGGCTCAGCCACCTGCGCCGCCTGGGCCTGGTCTACTTCCTCTACCTCTTCCTATTCTCGGGCCTGGAATACACGCTGAGCTTCCTCACACACCAGCGCTTCCAGTTCAGCAGGTGGGAGTGCGGGCCCTACAGGGACCCCACCCAGGGACGCCCTGCCCTTTCCCCATCCCCCGGGCCCAGCCTAGGAACCTGGGGCAGGCAGGGGTTGTCAGCAAGTCCCCTGGCTCCGCTTGGCAGAGCAGGGGCGCAGCCGGCCAGCAGGGCTGGGGCGCTAAGGTTCCCGCCCTCCCAGCCTGCAGCAGGGAAAGATGTTTTTCTTCATCGGCCTCACCATGGCCACCATCCAGGGCACCTATGCCCGGCGGATTAGCCCCGGCGGGGAAATTGCAGCTGTGAAACGGGTATGGGGCGCCCCTGGAGGGGGTGGGGGGTGGTCTCCTGAGCTCTGCTGGAAGCAGGAGTGGGGCCTGAGGTCCACTGTGTCCCGCTGCAGGCCATCCTGCTGCTGGTCCCCGCCTTCCTCCTCATCGGCTGGGGGCGCTCGCTGCCTGTGCTGGGCCTGGGGCTGCTGCTCTACTCCTTTGGTGAGTGAACCTGCCAGGGCCAGAGGGGCACGGCGGGGGCTGGTGGCCACAGATCCCTCCAGGTCACGAGCCCCCTCTCTCCTCTGGGGTGACGGTGCCTCGCTCATGTCCCCCATCAGCTGCCGCTGTTGTGGTGCCCTGTCTGTCCTCCGTGGTCGCCGGCTATGGTGAGAAGCCCTTCCTAACCAAGGCCACCGGAGGGGGGGAGGGGGGGGCGGAGCAGCCAGCAGGCACCTGAGGGCCCCTTCTTCCCTACAGGCTCGCCTGGGCAGAAGGGCACAGTCATGGGCACGCTGCGGAGCCTGGGTGCCCTGGCCAGGGCATTGGGGCCCATGGTGGCCGCCTCAGGTGAGGCTGTGGGACAGCACGTGATGTGCCCTGGGGAGCCAGGCCTCGGGGGCTGCTGGACCCTGATGGGGGCCTCCCTCAGCGGCCTGCATCTGCTCTTGCCTCCTCCGTTCTGGCCACTTGGGGCGGGTGCGGGCAGGGTGTGGTGGGCCCACGTCATCACTTGGCTGTCTCTCCCTCCAGTGTACTGGCTGACGGGCGCCCCGGCCTGCTTCACCGTGTGCTCGGGGCTCTTCCTGCTCCCCTTCCTCCTCCTGCGGCCCCTGCGGCCTCCAGCACAGACACTCAAGGCGGAGTAGCAGAGCCAGCCCAGCCCAGCCCAGGCCGGAGGAGCTGAGGCAGGAAGTCAGAGGCCACCCCGCCTGCTGGCCCGACTCCTCCCTTCCTCCTGGGGCCCAGACAGGAATGCTGGGGCCTGCAGCCCAGGGGGCGCTCGCAGCCCTCCTCCTGCTGGACTGGACGGCCCTGCCTGGTGCCCACAGAGCAGGATCAGGGATTCCAGATCTTTCCAGGCTTCCGGCTTGCTTGTTTTTCACTCTGTGGAGAACAGGCTATCAGCCAGGCGTCTGGATGACAAAATAAAGCAGCTGTTTTATACCAAGTGCCTCCTCCCAGTACACGGCGTCCCTCAGCCTCCACCACACCCTGGGGCCCCAGGCCCCCGCAGCAGCAGCTCCACTGACCACACGCGGTTCCCTCCTGCACGTGGGGAGGGTGGAGTTGGGTGCAGGACCCTCCCAGAGGGTCAGCACTGGCAGGTGACACCTGGCAGATGGAGGAGGGAGCCTTCTGCTGGGCTGTCCCCGTCACAGATCGTGGCCCCACCTGCCTGCTCAGCCCCAGCCAGGCTGACTCCAGGGTCCACTGACTGGAGAGGACACGGGACTCAGCGGTCCGAGGGCCGTGCCCAGCAGCCCCAGGGAGGAACAGGCTGGAGGGGCAGGGCAGCTCTGGGTTAGAACGTCCTCCCAGTTCAAAGTGGCAAATGGTGTCTCAAGAAATGAGACACTTTGGGGACGAGACAAACTCCTGGAAGTCCTATTTTAAAGAAAAAGAAAAGGGATTAAAATGTAAAACCGCTCCCCAGGTTCAGACAGGATACAGCTTGAAGAACTTTATTTGTGAGTAAAACATGTTACAATGAAGAAAGGACACAGGGCCTGCCCTCCTGAGCCTGTGTCCCTGTCTGTGGCTAGACTTCATGTTGTGATACAAAGAGTTAAAAGAAACTACAAAAGTGAATTAGTCATCGCGTGTGTGGGGCAGAGGGAGGGTCAGGGAAGAGTCTGTTAACGCAAGGAGGGCGGTGGGGAGGCGGGACACACTTGGCAACAAATGGACACAGAAGCAGCTGCTCGCCAGTTAGCTCCCAGCGGAGGTCAGCGCCATGCAGCCGGCCTCCGTCCTGCGTGGGTGCTCGGTTTTGGGGACCTGAGCCCACGTCCAGCTCCAGATCCACCGCGGCCCTCCCGCCTCCCCAGGGGCCTGTCTGGGGCGGGCAGGCTGGCACCCAGCAGCTCCTGGAACGGGCGCCCTCGAGGAGCCCACGTGGCCAGCTGCCAGCCAGCAGCTCCCTGCTGCCTCCCAGGGGGTGGAGGTGAGTGCAGGTGAGCGAGAGCAATTAGCTCCATGAGTGCCGGCTCGGGCTCGGGACCAGCGGGGGCCACCAGGGCCGACTTCCGCCTTGAACTCAGGCTGAGTTCAGGGAAGGGCAGACCCTGCTCTGAAACCTGCCCCCACACAGGTGCGCGGTGCTCCGCGGCAGGCAGGCCTAGAGAAACAAAGCGAGCGTCGCTGTTCCCGTTCACAGCAACGTAGAACTATCAATACACCAAAGAGAATGCTAGAAAAGACTTCTCCTCACTGAGATGCCCTCCCCAGGACAGGCCTGGAGAGACCCCAGTGATAAGACTGAGCCCTGGATCGGGTGCTGCCGTGGGGTGACCGGGTAACCATGCATAGGTTGCAAGGGTGTACAGGCCAGTCTGCTGCGGGGTCCCCACGCCGCCTCTCTGAGGCCACCACAGCGCCCTGGCCGCTGGCAGGCACGGGTGTTTGCACAGGACCAGGGCTTTGTGTTTATGGACAAAGTGAGATCGCTGAGCAGATAAGGCCAGCAGGAAGCTAGGAGTCTGAGTCAGTCACCTGAGACCTGGGGGGAGGGGAGCCTAGCAGGGACGGAGCGTGGGTTACTGGATGACAGAAGGAGAGCAAGAGAGGTCAGGGCCAGAGCCGGCAGGGCCTCTGACTGTGCAGCCAGAACCCTGCCTGGACGCCCCAGGGAAGGACCCGAGGAGCAGACAGACGGGCACAGAGGTGGACACAGAGCCAAGCCTCCCTCGACCTGAGGTGAGGCCCGGGCGCCAGGGGAGGCCGTGGGAGCACAGGAGGCGAGCTCTGGCCTACACGGGCTTGGGCGGCGGGGAGCGCTAGCTACGTGGAGGGGGCTTTGCATTCCACGACACAGGGAGACAACACGAGACAGCGGTGTGTGCAGGACGGGCCTTCAGGAGTCGCTCTTCTTCTTGCTCTTCTTCAGGAAGGAGGGGGTGCGGAACTTCTTCTTCTTTTTGGAAGGGGACTTGCCGGGAGACCCATCGCTGCCTGGGTCTGCAGCAGCCCCCTCAGCAGCCGGGGAGGGGGCTTCTTCAGCCGCCGGGCCCGGGGCCGGCTCAGGACTGGCCACCGTGGAGGGCCTGGCGGGGCTGGAAGGGCCACGGGCTTCGCCCAGCCCCTCGTCCTCCTCCTTGTCCAATGTCGGGAAGCCAGGCGCTTCTGAAGGCTCATCGGGGGACAGGTCAGGGAGAGTGGGCTTAAAGGTGGCAGCATCACTGTCGTCTCCAAAAACAGCATCTTGCAGGTCTAGTGGGCGGGTAGGAGAGACGGGGTTAAAGGGCAACTGCCCAGCCCTCAGAGAGGGACCTCAAGGTGGGCAGCGCCCTGCACAGAAACTGCCACTGTAAGGACACCAGGGCCTTCTACCAAGACAAGGATTAGGAACTTTAAATCGTGTCACTGCTTCAAGGCTGGATGGAGCCCATTGTACCAAACACAGACTCCATCTTAAGGAGGGAGGGTGCAGGGGGGGGGGTCCGGCGCCCTCTCCTGGAAGCGTGCCCTGCGAGCAGGGGACATTTTCAGTGCAGTGTCCTCCTGACACCCTTGAGACGAGGTTTGCTCTAGGCCCCTAGGGCACCTCAGTAGCCCTGAAATTAAGCCTACATTTGGGTCCACACACCTGGTTTCCCCCAAGGGAGCCACGGAAAACATGGCAGCCCATGGACGCACAAGTTAATAACTCTCGACCTCGTGCATCAGCATCAAATAAACTAAGCCTAGTTTAGAGGAAGACATGAACCATCAGGCAGGGAGAGGGGCAAAGCAAGCCGTTTAACCATCGGGAAGCAAAGTACGGAATGTAACTTGTCTTCAGGAGCCTGAGGGCTGGTCTGTGGGGAAGATTCCCATCTCCAGGTTGGGGTGGAGGAGACCAGGTGAGCAGATTTTCTAAAAACAGCCTACGAGGTTACGAGCGACTGGCAGGTTAGGAGCACCAAACCTGCTCATACATCAACAGTCAGCCGAACCTCGGGAGGCGACGGGAGGCGAGCCAAGTGCAGGGGACAAACACTGAGGGCTGGGCCTGGGAGGTGCCTGCCCGGGATCACGGCCGGGGCAGGGGGAAGTGAGGCATGTCTGCAAAGCGGGCAGAGGTGGCCTGTGGGTGCCCAGGGGAACCTTTATCATTGGATCAAATGTCCTACTAAAAAACAGCACTGCCCTGGCCGAGGTGGCTCAGTGGATAGAGAGTCAGCCTGCAGACTGAAGGGTCCCCAGTTTGATTCAGGTCAAGGGCACATGCCCGGGTTGCAGGCTCAATCCCCAGTGGGGGGTGTGCAGGAAGCAGCCGATCCATGATTCTCTCTCATCACTGATGTTTCTATCTCTCTCTCCCTCTCCCTTCCTCTCTGACATCAATAAAAATATACATATTTTAAAAATAGCCCAAATGTCGCTCTTCTGCCCCCCTCACGTTAAGCTTAAGCATGAAGCTTAAGCAGAGGTTCAAACACATGCAACTGCATGCAGCAGGTGGCAGCCCCACCTGCCTGAGCCTCGTCTAGACTGTCTGCCCTCCTGGCACTCACGAGACCCAGAGCTCTGAGCACCGCTGTGTGGCCCCTGGGAGCCCCGAGGGCAGGCTGCCCACTGCAGCTCCCAGGTGACCGAACCCCTTCCGGGAAGGCCACTGCCCACAATGAAGGACTGGGTACAAAAGGGGGGCGGGGGGCCAAGACAATGTTTTTATTTTGATTAAACAGAAAACAAAACGTAGTAAGCAACAAAGCAGCAGAATGAGGAAGCGCAGGGAAGCCGGCAGTACTTACTATGGTAACAGGTACTCCTTAGCACATCCTCCTGCTTGCCACGCAGCCACAAGAAGAGAAAAGCACAGGGAGAGAATCTACGCATTCAGTCACAGCACCAGGTACAGGAGGAGAATGGCCGAGCCATTCTTGTGGACACAGAGGCACAGGCTCCCGACAGACATGGGAAGCATGATGTATAAGACCGAGGGACAGACACGCAAGCCACACGCCACAGACATGCGGTGGGTGGTCTGAGAGGCCGACGGAGGCCAGTGCTCTGCATGGACTGATAACATGGCAGTCAAATGACATCCTGTAGCTCAGACACCACAGAGGACGTTTCCAGAGGTGGAATCGAGCACAGGAAGGTTTAGGAAGTGTGTAAAGAGGGCAAAACTGACATCATCAATGAAGTGGGTTCCGATCCCTGAAGGCTGTCCTCCCACCTGTGACATCTCACTAACAAATCTGTTTGGCCTCAGGTTTCCCAGGACAAGGCCAAAACAGGAGCGCAAGAGACTGGGCCCAGAAGCACCCAGCACGAGCTGTGCTGGTTCCCACGCAAAGGCACACGTCCTCACTAGTGTCAGCTGCCACTCCTTCCATTGGACAGAACACGCAGCCCACTCCCCCAGCCCCGCTGTGGACACCCATCCACACAGTGCCATGCGCCCTCCCGCACTGGGGCAGCCTCGCCCGCCCCCGCCCAGGACTCACCTTCCTCCAGCTTGACGGGGGAGCAGGGGGCAGCAGGGGGCTCTGGAGGACTGTCTTTCTGCTCTCCAGTCTCGTCCAGACTCTCTGCAGGTGGCAGAGGTGAGAGGGCGTGGTGAGATGCCGCCATGAGCCCGCACCAGAGCCCTCCCAGGGGAGTCGGAACCTACTCCCTCTGGGACTAGCCTGAGTGAGGAGGGAGGAAGCATGTGCTGAGGAGCACGCTGCCCTTCACCAAAGGCCTGGAGGACAGAGGCGCTCACCTGCGGACCTGCCCACGCAGAACCTGCCCTGGCGCCTGGGCCTCGCCGTGAGCACTCACCTGGGGGACCCCTGTGCTTGCGCTCCACCTCCCTGCGGTACTCCTCCAGCTCACGGTCAGTGAGCGTGTTGAAGGGGTTGGGGCCTGTGGTGCTCACGATGACGTGGGGCTGGTACTCCTTCTCAATGATGGCCTTGGAGGCTGTCACCAGCTCCCCCTGCAGACAGAAGAGGTGCTGGGTCTGCAGAAGCCCTGCCCCAGGACTTCCTCCTCCCCGGCCAGGCTGCAGGCAGGGTGGGGCGGGGCAGCTCTCCAGGGGCACAAAGACATCCCTGAGGGTTAGGCTGAGCTACAGCCTTCAGGGGCAGAAGACAGAGACACACGATTTTGATGCAACAAAATACATGTAACAGGAGAAAAGAACCCTAGAAAGCCCTCAGGTTTCAGAAGCAAAGGCAGCAAAGTGCAGATGGAGCGCACAGAGCACCTCGAGGACAAGCCCATGTCCTCACTGACAGGCGGGAAGAGGAAATGCACAGATCACAACACTCAGGTCAGGCAGGAGAGACCTGCTTCCATTCTAGGAGCACAGGCAGGTTCTGTTCTTTTGACCTTGAGAAGAAAATGTCCCCAGGCACCAGCATTTGTCTGGGGAATTTGGAAAACAGAATTTGTAGGAGAGAAAAGAAAGCAAAGCCTGTGAAGCACCGAGTGGCCACAGACCAGCCCCATCTGCCAGGAGGAGGCGGGCAGGCCCCGGAGGGCGGGAGCCAGCGGGCTGAGTGTGACGCCACCGCACATCCCTTGCCCGGCACAGCTCTGTGCCCCGCTCAGCCTAGTCAGCCCCAAATGCTCCCCGATGTTCACCTTGGAGAAAACTAACCGGAACTCATGCACATGCCCAGTACTTAATGAGAGCTTCCAAAAGTAACTGAAAACAGGAGAATCCAACATCACTTTCACGCCTGCCGGTCCACCTGTGCTCTCCTCAGCGAGGGGCGAGCGTCAGAGGCAGTCAGCGTCCCTGCAATGGGCACTGGACACAGAGCCAGACCGAGGCCAGGGGACCTGGGCTGAGTGGCCCAGTCCCATGAGCTGGGTAGAGTGCCTGGAGCACTCCAGGACTGACACTGACAGTGACACAGGCCCCGGGACAGAGGAAAGGGCCTGCTGGAGTCAGCAGCCTGTTATCAACCTGTCATCAGGTTCAGGATGACCTGGGAGTCGGTTAGCCCTCTTTCTGACCAGCCTGACCCAACGCCACCAGCTTTTCCTTCAGAAGCAGCCCTGCCTGGCCAAGACGGGGACTCAGGTCCTCCTCTGCCACTTGGACCCTTGGCCCGAGACACGCCCTTTCCTGTCCACAGGCCTGTTACCATCTTCAAGAGGAGCCTGCTGGGCGGGCCCCTGAGGCCCACAGAGCACGGACGCTATCATCTACGCAACCTGGCTGGTGCCTGTGCGTCCTGGTAGCACTGCCAGTGAGACAGGAAGGTGATGTGAGCTTGGAGAGAAACACTGTCACTCATTTCAGTCCAATGTTCACAATCAGTAAAGGGAAAACAAAACCAGAAACTGCCACAGAGATCCTTCCTGTCCAGGCCACCTGCCCTCGGTGCCACACAGCTGGTTCCCGCCACACTGGCAGGGGCTCCCTCCTCAGTGAGGGCCAAGCTGGAGCTAGGAAAAGAGCGATGCCTGAGCCGCAGAGACAGACAGGCCCTGTGGGGGGCAGCCAGAGAAGTCGGGGCTGAAGGGGCAGCTCCCTCCAGCAGCCCATGTCGGGGCGCTTGTTGCGCTCCTCCCGTTTGGCCCCACCAGGGCTCTAAGCCTGTTCCTCCTGGCACTGGGCTGAGGCATCAGATTTTCATCTGAAAAATCTACACAGATTTGAATTTATATTCTTTTTTTTGTTAATCCTCACCCAAGGATACTTTTTCCCACTGATTTTCAGAGAGAGTGGAAGGAAGGGAGGGAGGGGAAGAGAGAGAGAGAAAAATTGATGAGAGAGGTGCCCTGACCAAGGTTGAGAAACGAACCTGCAATCCAGGGAATTGAACCCGTACGTGCAAGCGGGTGCTCCAGCTACTGAGCCACCAGGCCAGGGCTAAATGTACATCTTAGTGCTGGGCCTGCACACACTAGGTGCTTACCACCCAGTGCACACAGGTGCGGCCGAGCAGCAAATCTGGGCTGTACACCTGGGCAGCAGGACAGGACTAAGTGCAAATCTTCACACCGTCTCTAAGGACTCGGTTCACTGGGAACCAAATCCAGGTGGCAGAGTGACATCCAGCCACACGCTGGCTGCACAGTGCTGAGTCAAGAGAGCCCTGGCTGGGCTTCCTGTCCCTTTGGGCACCGGAGCACGGGGTGTGGCTGGCAACTCGCTGATCCTTCTTCTGCCAGAAGACAAAGGAGAGATGGAAGCAAAAGAAAGTCCTTCCAGAAAAGCCCCAACTTCCTTAGTCCCAAACGCCCGTTCCTCAAGCTCTTGACCGGGAAGCGAGTCTCTGCACGCGTGCCTTACGGGGAAGAGGACGTTTTTAGGACATTGACACACAGTCCTTTTCACTTGCTCAAGAGGGTCAACTTGCCAGTGAGCAGCGCCACCTCTAGGAGCACCGTGGTCTGTGCTTTGTGGTCCACACACCAAGACGTGGCAACCACCCCAGTCAAGGACATCGGAGGAGTCAAAGCACATTCTCACATCAAAACGAAACATGCTGTCACGGGAAAGAGCAAGGCTGCGAATGTGAGCGCCCGGAAGAGGGGGCGGGGAAAACAGAAGCTGGCCAGGAACCTGCACAGGGCACCGCCTCACTGGGCTCGGTGCCGAGTGGCTTTCTCTGCCGATCCTGCCTGGACATGGCGCTCACAGGGTCTAGTCTGGTGCTCGGACTTGCAGAGGACATGCGACTGGCCAGGAACCCCACTCGCACAGCCATTGGAGGGGCCCCTGGCTACGCTCCATGACGCATCCTCACAGGGAACTGGGATGCACCCCCAAGTCTGAGCACTGCTGGACAGAGCCAAACAGAACTGCGACGGACGAGGAACTGCCAGAGCAGCAGCCTTAACACAGCAGACGGTCTCCCTTCCAGGCAGGCAGCCCTAACGACACAAACAGGAACCACTAAATGCAATCTAAGCCAGAGGGCTTGTCCAAACCTGCTCTGCTCCATAAGCCCCCGGGGCTCATGGACTTCACACACCTACACACACCTGAGAGAAAAGAACGAGAAACTAAGGTCACATGGGATGGAAGCATGAAACACAAGCCAGTGGGGCAGGAGGCCATCTCTCCCATGCTCTGCGGGGCTCCTCCAAGAATGGTCGCTGCACAAGGGAAAACAGGACCCACTGAAACAATACATAAATACGCAAAAATAATGCCGTTGGCGAGGGTTCCAGACAGGAAGACAGAGCCCTTGGTGCAAGCCTCCTTCTCTCTGGCTCCTGGGGCGTGACTAGATGACACCTGCACTCACTGGAGGAGTGTAACTGAGACACATTTCCTCTGGACATAGGGCGAACACCTGAGGCCTCACCCTCTGCCCTCAGCGCCTCAAAGCTTAGAATAGGCGAGCCTCCACCTGGCACGGGACATAGGGTGGATTTCCACCTACTGAGCACTTTAGGTATGCAGGTACACGGAGAATGGTAATTTGGGGTTTCCAATTTTCACAAGTCTTTGCCCCCTTGCAACATTAAAAAAATCTAGGATTTTTAAGGTCAAAATAAATACATTTCCTCAACCAGGGCTGACAAGAGACCGCCTTGCTTTACTTCCCGCTCCCCTGAAAGGATGTCTTTCAATCGCACCCCCCATTGCACGTTCCTTATGTTTTCGGTCACAGCTGAGCAGGCAAAGGGAGCAGGTCGCACGGAAGCATCCGCACTAACAGAGTCACATGCAGAACCTCTGAAAAGCACTGTCATGATGCGGAGACGCATCCACTCCTCCCAGCCAGGGCTCCCCTACAGCCCAGGGCAGGCAGGACGGCACCCTCTGTCCTCTCACCAAGGAGCTAGAGCCCGTGTGCGGCTCCGTCGTGACCGGGACAATGCCGGCAGGAGCAGGCAGGTGGGGACAGGCAGGCAGGAGGCAGCGTGAGCCGACAGTAACTACGGGCAGGAGGAGTACCTTTCTAACAGGGAGAGATTTAGCTGGACTAAAGGTCTGCTCTGTGAGCTCGAGCCCTTCGATTGTCTCCGTGCAGTCAGACAGGGGTGCGTCCTGCAACAGTAAACTGAGTCAGCAGAGCCCCAGGCCCAGCCTGAAGTACTGAGCGCACAGGGTGGCGCCGCTGAGGGCATGCAGCAGGGACGGCGGCGTCGCCAGGAAGGCAGCGGGGGTGGCACCGCCACGTGCAAGCCCAGTCCCCAGGACCAGGACCACACCTGACCAGTCAGAAGAGGCGGCGACAGTCACCTACCCTGCAGTTAACGTGTGCGGTTTCAGAGGCAACTACGGACACGATTACCTTCAAGGGGCCCAGGCACTGTCCCTTTATAGAAACGCGGGTCACCGTGGCCACAGACAGGCACCAAGCAGCGCCCTGCCGCAGGCAGCCACGTGGACGGGAATAAGCCCGCCGAGCCCCGGAGGCCAGCACTTTACATGGTGTGCAGCACTCGGACTGGGCGGTGGGTCCCCGGGCACCGTGCCACCCGCACAGGCATGCACTGCACCGAGCGCTGGCGGGGACACGCCCCGGGCATGCTCGTGCTTGGCCTACAACTCAGGGAAAAGTGCCTGTGATTTCTCATCATGAAGGGTTTTCACAAAGACTGCGTAAGAGTAACAGGACCAATTCCCAGTTCTCACCTGGACGAGGCTTCTGTCCATCACTACACCACACAACACCTGCGACTGGGGGCCAGCCGTCTTAATGTCCTGCAGGTTCTGCTCTCGGATCTGAGGATGGCAACAGGAGGAACACATCAGCAGCATGCCCACACCTCGCCCGCTCGGTACTGCCTGGGTCTGAAGGGAGGAAGGGCCCATTCCTACGTCCTTCCCCTTCTAGTGACGTGGGCAAGCGCTCACTCACTTGAGGACACACTCCCTACGTGTCCCTCTTACCGGGACACTGTGAACAGTCCAGGGTGAAGGCTCTGCAGACTGCAGCCCTGCCTGCTGCTCACGGGCCACAGGTGCACAGCACAAGTGCACAGAGGGGCCGCAGCTGCAGTCACGGGGCAGCAGAAGTCCTCAACCCATGCACGCGCTCTCTGCCCTGCAGCAGCCAACACCCCGTCCACCCACTGCAGCCTCCGCCTCCCGCACACGAGTACGCACCTTGTTCCTCATCTCCTGGACCTCTTTCGGGTTTGTGTTCAATGGAACAAACAGGTTAGGGACAGCAGAGGTGGAAGTTCTATGTCCATCCTCTTTAGTCCACTGTAATATCAAGGAGAGTTAAAATGTCAGAATTGGGACGGCAACAGGTGGCAGCAAGCACCCCATCTATCCAACTGACCTCACATCTGGTCATGCACTGAGCGTCACAGAGGATGAACCAATGACCACACCCTGTGCCACCGCAGCGGCTGGAGGGGGCAGGAGCATGTCCAGACCGAAACCAGGAATGGCGGAGGCCAGAGTCGTGACGACCGGCCAGAGCCACTGAGAAAGCCCCGCTGAAATGTGGGGTCTGACATGGACTGGCAACAGAGCTGAGCCCCTAACTCCCGCAGACTAGCCAGTGGGGACCCTTCAGAGCACATTGGTTCACCGCTCTGAGCATCGTCAACACCAAAGCCAGCTGGAAGCATGAGATGACAGGGTCATGGAAAGCAATGTGATGTGCTACCCAGAGGGAGGGAAGACTCGCATTGGAAGGCAAGAGTGGGCATCACCAAAGTGCTGCATTAAAATAAACTACAGCGTCAGAATGCACTGTTTGCACAGCTATTTCAACCCAAGAAAATCGCAGAATGAACGCTTAGGCACCTGGGGAAGGTTTGGTGATGTCGAATATTTTATATAACTTCATACTCTGAGTGTTACAAAAATATCCCACAGGAGCTCGGAGCGCTGGGATCCTTACTAGAAGGCCGTCTTAGGCAGCGGGCACACTGCCAGCACCCTGCGCCTTTCACTTTTTTTTTGAATTTCCAATCAAATATGACCATTTTCATCACATTGTAATTCGGAGGATGAGGAGGCGCTGAGTGTTAAAACAAGCCCACCTCCGAGAGCAAATGTTATTCTTTTCAGGGTGTTTTCAAGAGGCACTAAGAGAGCCGTAACCGTAAGACTTGGAGAAAGCCAGGGGAGCGGATGCTCAGCCACTGCGGGGAGCGCGACGGGCGTGCCTGGGAGGTACTCACTGACGGCATCTTCAGATTAAACAACTCCAGCCTTTCATTAAAGATAATTTCCAGTCAAAACAGGAAAACGGCAACCTCAGGAGCGTGACACTATTACTGTAAGCGAATATACCCACCTGGGCGCAGGCACGGGTGTCAATCCAGAACAAGAAACACATCGCAATGCTGCCCAGGGCCTCCCTCCACACCACACTGACTAACACGCCCGACTCACTTCACACTTTTTCACGCTAAGAGTACATGTAGCTCAAAGCTGCTGCCACACACACACTTCGGGAAAACTCGGCACAGCCTCCGGCACATGTACTGACGGCAGCGGAGTCGTTCGGGCCCACTCCCCTGAACAAGCAACATCAATAAAAACGAAACAAAGGCCACGAGAAAAGAAAAAAAGGGAGAGAGGGACAGAGGGGAAGGAGGGGGGACCGGGGGCGAGAAGGAGAGGAGGCCGGGCTCAGCACTGGGCCTCTGCCCACGTGGGCGGCATGTCGGCTCAGGGGCACAGAGGCTCTCACCAACTGTGCACCAGGAAAACGCCAGCCACCTGGAGACAGGCCTCTCTTTCGACACGTCTACGAAGTAAGAGCGTTATGAGGGAACCCGTTTGCTGCCTGGGGGCCCCGAGTCTGGGCCCGTCTCGCCGGCGCTACAGACCAGCCGTGCAGCGGTGGGTCTGTGCCCGCTTCCGTGTGCGCGCAGGACTCCACCGCAGGAGCACGGCTGTCCCAGGCTCGGTGAGGGGCCGTGAACCGTCTTCACGAAGGCGGCTGAGGGCCGGGACCTGAGGGCGGCTCAGGGCCGGTGAACACGGGCGTGAAGCACGTTGGCAGCAACCCTCTGTCGCTGGTGCCCGCGGTGGCCTGCGCTGCACTGGGGTCATGCCGCCCCCGGCAGGAGTCAGAAGACTCCGCGATGGCGGTCTACTCACATGCACAGTCCATGCAGGAGGCAGCTGCTGAGAGCGTTCGGAGGCTTTGGGACAGAGCAGGGGAGGCTAACGAGGAGGACCTGGCCGGCCGAGAGCAGGCCGGGACCCAGAGGAGAAACTGCTTAAGAAAACACTCGAGACGTTAAAGAACAGTTAGTGACTTACTGAAACCACCGGCATTCACAACACTGAACAACAGGCTATGACTGAACTGCCTTTTGGTGCGTGAAGTAGTAAGGTTCCTTGAGGACAGTGTGAGTTTGCCGGCAGCTCCTGGGTTTAGGTTAATACACATGTTAGTTGGACCTTTGGCTACGGACGCACTAGGTAAAGAGGCAGTCACTGGGGGGGTCAGGTCAGTATCTTAAGCAGTTTCGAGCAGACAGTAGTACTGGTTCAAATACAGAAGGTGAAAGGGAAGGCTCGCCTTCAGTCAGGGTCGCAGGGCTGGTTCCCAAAGCCTCCGAAGCCCCAGCTGCCCCACTTGCTCTACATCATCTAACTAGGAACAGTAAGGTAGGCACAGACCAAGCAGTTGGTAATACAGCTTGGCACGCAGACACCGGACGAGAGAGACTGCAGCAAGGGTTTCACGTGATCGTGTGTAATGTTCGTCCACACCTTAGTCTTCGACTTGGGGCTGCTTCCGTTCTGCCCTTCCTCAGAGGCATCGTCACCCCGGCCAGAGTTCAGCCATCTTGTCTTCTCTCGTTGCTGCTTCTGAAAACTGTGTCTGAGAGGAGAGCAAGTGCCCGAATCACCGTCACTAGCAAAGGAGTAACCTGTGACGCTAGCAGGAGCCTCCACGTCGCTGTATTTCTTAGACTTCTCTCTCAGAGCTGGGTATCGGTAAGGGTAGCCAGTTCTGTAACCCTAGAGACCAAGAGAGTGAAAGACAGTCACTAGTCCATGTCTCAACACAGAGCTCCTCGGGGAACGCTGTGTGGGATCCCTCAGAGGCTGCACCCCAAGTACAAGCCCAACCTAAAGGCGAAGACGTTCACCAAAACAAAGGCTCTGCAAGCCGACAGCAGCCCCACTGCTAACAGCCCCCACTGGAACCAATCAGAAGTCCGTCAGCAGGGGCGTGAGGCGTGCTCACCATGGACTGGGAAGCAGCACAAGAAGAACTCTCTGCCCCAGTGAACCTGAGGATGATGCCGAGTGAGACACCAACGGGAAAGGGGGTGCTGCCTGATCCCATTACGAGGCTGGGTGGCGTCACCCTTGGGCGGAGTGACTCTCAGAGGGGACGGGCCTTCTGAGGTGCTGGTGCTGGTTTTTGATTGGGTGTTGATTCCACCCAGTTTTTTAAACTAATAAACTGAATACTTAAATAGGTACACTCTCCTGTTTACTGTATTTCAATAAAAAGTTTAAAATTGTAAAAAACCTGGCTTACTTGCTGTTGGCGACAATACAGACTTTACTCATCAACCTACCGAATGCTGAGGTCACAGTTTAGACGCCTGATAAACTCCAGGGAGGACCAAACAAGCACGCCTCATGGTGACTGGTTCTGGCAGATGACTGTCCCACTGACACTAACTTCACACTCAGTTCAACCCTGACTCTGCCTCGTAGCCATTCACTCTGCTGTGAAAAGTGCCCCTAACTCTCGCCTCTATGCCAGCACCTGCCGTCCGCCCCCCTCCCCCCGCCCTTGCCTCACCCCCGTGCAGGACCAGCCTGTTTGCTGGCCCCACAGGCAGCATCCCCGAGGCAAGGGTGGGTATCAGCCCTCCTGTCCGGGCGTAGCTTGGTGATGCGCATGGCCCCACCTCCTGAAGTGCCCTCCCTGCTGGACTGTGGACGAGCCCTGTGACTGGCTTCTCACCAGTGGAACTGGCAAAGTGATAGGATGCGTTAGATGAGTGTGGTGCCCATCCTGACTCTCTGTGCATTACGGTCTGAGGAAGCAAGCTGCCATGGCCACCACAGATGGAAGAAAATGGACTCTGACCACCACCTGAGAGCCTGGCAGGGGGGCCTCCCCCCGCTGAGCCTGCCAAGAACCCGGCCCAGCTGACCCCTGACTGCTGGCAGCCTGTGAGCTCAGCTGCCCCTGCACTGCGGACCCACAGCCTCGCATCTGGACCAAGTCCTTCCCGGCCGCTTCACGGGGAGCCAGAGCGTTGGGGCTGCAAGGAGTGCAGGGTGGTCACGAGGCGGGCCTGCGCCGCTGGCCGATACGCCAGAAACATGCACTTCCTCAGTCCAGGGATTCCCCTCCCTGTGGGTGCTGCTTCCCTGTGCGGGGCCACCTTCATTACCAACCATCCTTTAACACGTTAAGAAAAGGACGGCAGTAATCCCTGCGCTGCTGCTGCCTCCTCATCAGTCCTTGGGAAGAGGCGATGCACTGCCATTTCCCGCTCAGAGATGCTCACGCTCGGCTGAGGCTAATACGATGACTCAGCCAGGAAGACGGTCTTCGGAGGAACACCGTGCTTACTCATTCACACGTCCTCTTGCTCGGACAGCCAGGACGGAGGAATCTCCAGGCCTCGGGATAAACCACCAGGCCTCCACACAATTCTACCCTCCCAGCATGTGGGTTTGGTCTTTATTCTTCCCTTTAAATGCCGTGAAACCAAAATTAGAGGCAATACACAGACCTCAGACCTATTATATGGCTTAGTTAAAAATATGGATTCCTGCCTGGCTGGTGTGGCTCAGTGACTGAGCATCGACCCACGCACCAGGAGGTCACCAGTTCGATTCCCAGTCAGGACACATGCCTGGGTTGTGGGCTTGATCCCTAGTCGGGGGCGTGCAGAAGCAGCTGATCAATGTTGATGCTTCTCTCTCATCGATGTTTCTACCTCTCTCCCTAAAGTCAATAAAAACATTTAAGAAAAAAAAATGGATTCCTTTCTTCCTTGAGAAACTGGCACTGTATCTTGATTTTGTGGGATTTAGCATTTCTTCTGTGTGTGCTGAAATGAACTCACAGTGTGAGGATCTCTAGCTGCTCTCTAACCTATTCAATGACTCGCAAACATACGACTGATGAGGATGCTAACTGAATCCTGGACTGTGATCAGTGGTCGCTGTCCAGTTTATTTCTTATAAAGCACAGGGCCTGCTACTATCAGAAACAGTCACAGATCCGCCCATAAGAAGCCACTGAAAGCCTTGCGGTGCTGAATGGTCCACAGCTCATCCTCTCATCCTCTAGCTTCCTCCCCTATCAAATCAGAGTTACTGCCCAATGTAGATTTTCTTCTCCATTTTCCAGAATGTACCGAGTGCACAAGATGGGTGGCTGCTGTTCTTCATTCTTGTCCTCTCTCCTGCTCTCCACTTACTTTTAGGCACAAGAGAGTGAAACGTCCAAGTGTTTGCCAGGAGGAGAGAAGGGCGATAGGACTGGGCCACCCCAGCCCCGGGGGGTGTCTGACTCCGATGCTGCCACCTGGGCCACCGCTGCCCCGCGCTCCAGCCCTCTCCAGCTGCCTTTCCTGAGGCTGCGCACCCCTGGTCTCCGCCTGACTCCAACATCCTTCCATCTCCTCGGTGAGCGGTTCCATCCTGCTTCCCTGACCAACCCTGGCCCATGCGTCTCTGCCTGCAGCTCTCGGCGTGCTGCCAGGGCGCAGAGCGCAGTGCTGGGCTGCACCTCCCTGACTAGGGCAAGAGCCGTGTCCTGTTCATGGCTACAGGCTTAAGAGCAGATGGTCAGTTAGTGCAAACCATCTTCACCAAGCACTGAATTCAGAAGTTAAGGAAGACTCTGCCCACTGCTCCCTCACTGACCAAACCCACTCTTGTGGACACAGCCCCTGGGCACACCCTGAATCAGATCCATGAATTCTTTGTTTTCCAAAATCTTCAGGAAAGGTAACCCTCTTGCAGCCACCCGTCCCATCTGCAGCCTCTTCCAAAGGTCAGACCGTCTTAAGTGAGGCTGCACGGTGTCCCAGTGGGGCCGGTGCCGCCCTCCAGAGCAGCCACACCCACACAAGGACTGTAGCCCTTCCCAGCGCCCCTTGTCCCACACGGCAGGACAGGTCCTCATGCCCACCAGTAGGAAGGGCATCTGAGAGGTGACAGTGCAGCATGAAAGGGCCCCTCAGAGCCATCTGCCTTACAATGTGGCGGCTCCGACCCTACAGACTTGTTCTGAGTAATTACAGACCGTGTCAAAGGCAGAGGCGGACCTGGAGGCACGTTCCCATCCCCACGGCTCTCTTCAGTGCTGCTGCAGCCTCTGCCGTGATGCCCACCTTCGCCCAGCTCAGCCTGTCGCGTTTCTACCTGTCCTTTGAGGTCATTTCCAAGTGCCATCTTCTACCTAAAGTGTTCTCCCTGATCTGTGAAAAAGGATGAAGGCCCTCACTGAAACCCCACATACTAGTGGACCACATCCTGCCATGTCCACGCAGAACCCCTATCACACCAGAGCACCCCCCGCCCCTGCCCCATTGCGTCTGGGCTCAGGCCCCTGCAGTCAGGGCGAGTCACACAGTGAATCAGCAGCAAATGTCTGTGGAACAGTAATTGGCCTCCAAACAGCTAGAACTTCCTGTTAACACCAACAACAAAAATCCTTGCCGCCTGCTTTCAAAGCCCCCTGCAGAGCGTGAGTGTGGGAGGAAGGCGCGGAGCCGCCCTCCGCCCAGAGCTGGTTACCCAGCAGCCTGCAGTAGAGCAGGCCGTGTCCGTGCTTCTGTCCCCACGGGGCCCCAACAAGATTATCTTTAAAAAACAAAGAAGTTCTCACTCTACTTTACGGTGATTTAGCTTAGACGTGCTGCTGGGTGATTCTTCAGGAGCAAGCGCTCAGATGCTGCATGAGGACAGCAACTCCACAACACTACCTCACTGGTGCCCAATCACCCACACACCTGAGCTTTAGAAGGACACCATTATCACGCAGTGGTAGCCACGTCCTTACCAGGTTATCCAGCATCCGCATGAGGGCTTCAAACTCCTGCTCACCGATCAGCCACTTGGGAGGCGAGGCGGTGCTCTCCCCTGCCGGGGCCCCCGGGGAACGGGATTTGGCTTTGTACTTCCCCGGATCCAGGAGGACTAAGTTGTCTGGCCCTCCTGCACTGGCCAGAGTTCGAACCTTTTCAAAACAAGCAAACATTACAGTCTGAGCTCCTTACTGAGAGCACAGGTGACTGTGGGAAATCACGTACACAGAAATGTCAAACCCCTAAGTGTAAGAATGAGAGATGTAGAATGGACAGTGATAGACTAATCACGTTATGTTCAGCCCTGGCCGGGTAGCTCAGTAGGTTAGAGCATCACCTCGATACACCAAGGTGGTGGGTTCTATTCCCAGTCAGGGCACATACAAGAATCAGCCAACGAATACATAAATAAGTGGAACAACAAGTCCACCTCTCTCTCTCTCTCTCTCTCTCTCTCTCTCACACACACACACACACACACACACACAAAATCAATAAATATTTTAAATGAATACATAAACCCATAATAAATTTTTAAAAACAAGGTTATTTTCAGAAGTTTTTCTTTAGCCTGAAAAAAATACTGTGCCCACCTACTTGGAGGAGAAATGTAAAATACTTCTCAAGAGCATAAGCAGCAGAATGGGGAGGAAGGCATGGCTGCACAGACGAGGTCAGGAGAACAAACTTGGGGCTGGGCAGCACTTGCCACCGAGTGGCATAAGTGGCACTTACGGCCGTGAGACTGTGGCAAGTTTCTAGCTCTCTGCACCTGTTTTTTCAGAAGGAATGCCACGAGGGTCAAATGAATCCCATGTAATAACATATGTAACGCACCTGATACAGGAGTTGGCACACACTGTATCCACAGTACTCCATAAATAAAAAGAAACTACCATTTGCCAAACTAAATCAGTGAAATGCCATCTGCCCTGTTCGATTTCCAAATCCGTGAGCTCAGAGTTGGCAGAGACTGCTCCAGGACTCCCCCTGCCAACCAGCATCAGAGGTTCTGGGAGCCTGCAAACCCGAGACCCCCCGCAGACGGCACGCAGCACCGACCTGGATCTCACATGCAACCACGAGGTTGTGGATGTAGTAGAAGGCCTCCTCGACGCTCTCTCCGACCGACACCAGCCCGTGGTTCCGGAGGATGAGGACCTGAGAGGAACACGAGAGCTCCATGGAGCTAAAGACACTGATGCTTTCTCTCTCTCCTCTTCGCTCCATAATTTAAATGCCAGGTTACATGCCTACTGACCTTGCTTTTAGGACCCAAATTTTTCTGGATTAAAACCTTTTCCTCTTCATCAACCAAAATCCCATGGTAATCATGATAAGCCACCTCTCCAAGGGAAAGTGCCTCCGGGGAGATGGGTAAGAGCCCACATTTCATCGCAGAGACCTGGAGAACAAGCAGTCACACTGAGCGAAAGCCCTCGCTGACTGGTGATAGGGTAAAGTCTTTCCTCGAAGAAATACAAAAGGGGAACAGAGTTAACTTTGTTCTCTTCTCAGAAGTAAATGAACCCATGAGCTTAAAAAAAATTACTCTGGGCCTTAGTGCAATGCACAGTTAGAAATGCAGACTCTCACTAAGCTGGGAGAGCCCAAGAGGAAGCCCACATCTTTCTGGATTTCTCCACACTGATGCTAAATGCTCTGTGAGCTCAGACTTGATGACAAGTGAGCCCCGGATCTATGAGGACAGGCAACGGCCTCCTCTGAATGCACCAGAGAGCATGGCAAGTGCTCTAAGGCTGTGTGCACAGGTTAGACTGCAGGTGGGACCAAAACACCTGAAAATCAGATCAAAGCAAATTTGTAAAAGTTGAGGATAATTATACTATACAATTTCTTTACATTTATTTAGGTAAAAAAAAAAAAAAAAATCTAAACCCTGCAGGTGTTGCTCAGTGGTTAAGCATCAACCTATGAATCAGGAGGTGGTTGTTCAATTCCTGGTCAGCACATGGCTGCGTTGTGGGCTCAATGCCCAGCAGGGGGCGTGCAGGAGGCAGCTGATCAATGATTCTCGTCATTGATGTTTCTATCTCTCCCTCTCCCTTCCTCTCTAAAACCAATAAAAATATGTAAAAAAGACAATACCACAAAAAAGGCAATATAATATTTAATTCCTTTCACAGTATCAGCTTTAAGAAATTTCCTTACCTACAAGAAGAAATTTCCTTACAAAGTAAACTTTTGATAGTTTTTGAAACAAATTACATGGTAGCTGCTTATAGCCATATTCTCAAAGATACCTCTCCAATGGTTCTTCGGTTTTAAGAAAAAATCACATCCTTCAGAGAATGATATACTTAATAAAACTGATGTTGACATAAAGAACCACATATTCAAAGTAAAATAAACCAGGTCACTCACTCACCTAAACAAACCAACATGCATGACATTAAAACATCAAGAGATTAAAAATCAAGCCCTAGCCAGTTTGGCTCAGCATCAGCCCTCGGACTGAAGGGTCCCAGGTTAGATTCTGGTCAAGGGCATGTACCTCGGTTGCAGGCTGGATCCTCCTGCGCCAAGGGGGAGGAGGGGGGAGAAGGGGCATGCAGGAGGCAACCAATCAATGTTTCTCTCTCTGTGTCTCTCCCCCTCCCTTCCACTCTCTCTAAAAATCAATGGAAAAATATCCTCAGGTGAGGATGAACAAAAATAAAAAATAAATTTAAAAAAGATATTAAAATTCGGCATTACTGAATCAATTAGATCATCTATTGTACAAACAGGCCCATGAAGTCACTAAAGTATGAGACTGGTGATAAAAAGCCAATTCTAGACAGTGTTTCGTTTTCACACGACTGTCCCTGCAACTGGAACGCTCATTTTCAATCCGAGAGGTCTGGGCTTTGTCAGGGTGACCCATGCACACAGCAGGACACAGCTGGGTGATGGGCTGGGCAGGCCTCTGGGGGGCTGTGGGCTTGGAGGCCTGCTCTCCACAGCCGGCACAACTGTGCCCTCCTGCCCCAACTGCCTGCCTTCTTCTGACTTCCCCAGTCATGATGCAGCCTGGGTTCCGGGGGCTCCTCCCCGACAGCCCATCAGCACCCTCCAGGCCCTCGAGTCCCACTAACCCTTTCCTGAGCCCACAGCACCCTTACTTACCACCCATACTGCCTTCCCTCTTCTCAAAGGCTCTGTAAGTTTACTGCTGTCCTTCTGCACTTCCCAACAGAGTTCAGCACACTGAAATCTGACCTCCACTGTCAACACGCTCTAACTTTCTAATATGGAAGTCTAATGGGCATTTTCAGACCCCTTAAAAGAAAAAAAGTATTTTAAGAAAGTCAAACTTAGTGAGTAAAAATATATTTTTAATCCAACTAAGTTAGGTCTAAGGACTTATTTGCAACAAGAGGCACTTCCAGGGAAATGTGCAGAGCCTCTCACTAAACAACTACAAACTGCAGGGGGAGCGCGAGGCCACTCACCGCAGCCCCTGCCGGCGTGTGAATGTGGACCACACACTTCACGTCCGGCCGCGCAGCATAGATCGCCGAGTGCAGCGTGAAGCCAGCTTGATTGACTCCTAGGTTAGTGCTTCCACGGTCTACAACATCTCCTTGCAGATTGATTTTCACCTGAAAATAAGAAAACAAAAATTATCAATGTCAAAAGGACTTCCAATTACCCTAACTAAAAATTATTTAAACCAAATGTTAGTGTTTATAACTACTTTTAAAGGTTTTTCTTTGAGTTAATTACACAAAACACTAGTTTCTCTTCTTCCTTAGGTTTTCTATGTCTAACACAGCCGTGGGCAAACTACGGCCCGCGGGCCGGATCCGGCCCGTTTGAAATGAATAAAACTAAAAAAAAAAAAGACCGTACCCTTTTATGTAATGATGTTTACTTTGAATTTATATTAGTTCACACAAACACTCCATCCATGCTTTTGTTCCGGCCCTCCGGTCCAGTTTAAGAACCCATTGTGGCCCTCGAGTCAAAAAGTTTGCCCACCCCTGGTCTAACAGGATTAGAAGGGGTTTAATTAAGTAACGTGACCTATACAGTCATGACGCCCAAGAGGGAAAGGACATTCTTACCAAACTGGATGCAGTCACTTCACTGTAGAGAAGCCCAAAAGGTACAATGAGGAAGTGTTCCTGCTCGGAGCTCACTCTGGTCTGTGGGGACATGACAGAGTTAGAGCAAAATTCAACTGAAATTATTTGTATCTCTTTGAGGCCACAAACTCACAGGCTTGTCGAACATCTACACAATATAGAGCTGTTACTGCAGTCATGTGTCACATACATGAAGTGCAGCTTGGTCACATTCATGGTAATTGACCAGTGGCATGCACAAAGACGGTCACTCCTCAGGTAATGATAATGAAAACTAAAGCTCACTTTCTAAAAGTCAAACAGATTTGTCTTTAGAACGCAAAACCTGCAGGACAACGAACAATCACAAAACCACACGCAGGAGAGCGCTGCCTTGCTGCCTGAGCACGCTCAGAGCCTCTGTTGGTGTACATTCCCTCAGATCGATGTTGGATGACTGAGCCATTTCCCACCTACCGTTTGACTCTAAAAATGTTTCATTATTGCCCTACCTGGCTTGGCTCAGTGGATAGAGAATCGGCCTGTAAACTGAAAGGTCCCAGGTTTGATTCTGGTCAAGAGCACGTACCTCGGTTGCAGGCTCCTCCCGGCCTGGGCCCTGATCGGGGCGCGTGCAGGAGGCAACCAATCAATGTGTTTCTCTCACATCGATATTTCTCTCTCTGTCTTTCCCTCTCTCTTCCACTCTCTCTAAAATCAATGGAAAAATATCCTCGAATGAGGATTAAAATAAAAAAGAGAAAGAAAAATAAATTAATTAAGATTTTTAAAAAATTATTATTATAGACAAGGCTATAGTAAATATATTTGTGTATCGTGTTTTCTTCTTTCACTTAGCTCCTTAACATTATTTCTAAGAGTGTGCTTAACAGATCTACATATTTTAGTGGGAAAATCTTATAATATACAATTTTCTGAGTCTGAAGCAAAGAGAAAGTGCTAAATACAGATGTAGAGTAAAAATGGGAAAAGAACATTTCAGTCACTTTTCTGGTCCCCGGTGGACTAGTGCTGGCTTTCCTGCATGTCCTCCCACACGACGAATGCCCCTTCTGTGTACAAGGAACAAACTCTAAGGTCACACATCTTCAGGTCACTCACTGAAAATCAGTATCTCTGGCAAAGACAGGCATCCCACCCAGAAGCACAGTGCACTGGTCACAAAGGTGGGCTCCACACCATCTTGGAGCTGAGCCAAGACGAATTAAGGGATGGAAAAACCCTGCATCAGCCAACTGCCACCAAGAGAGGAAACCCAGCCCTTATGCCAACTGGGCCACCCTGTCTCTTGACACTGAACGCTTCTTTAAATCCAATGCGATCTTAAAACAGATCTAATCCAGACAAGTGTCTCTAACCCTCTAACACCTGTTAGCATTTCTCAGTCTCTTTAGCAGAAAATCCCATGGTACTTGTTCAAAGAAAGGGCACAATGACTTGTTAGCACCTTTGATTACACTGATAAATACTGCTAATAGTTCTTTTCTGTTAAGCGTCTATATGATAACACCTAGATTGTAACAAAAAAGGATGCCATAAATAATTTAAAAACACAAACCTTCCTCCTCAAAGATTCTCTAGTTCACAAGATAAAGGAAATGTTCTGGTAACTTCAATTTAATTTTTACTCAGTATTTAGTCCCAAAGTCCCAAATAATTAAGGGGGGAGGGGAGACACAAGCAATTGAAGCAATTCAACCTTCTTTACATAGCATTCATAACAGGACTAGCGGTAAACATTTTTAAACTTCCAAATAATGAGACGATGTTATTAAAGCCAAGGATTACACTTCCTGTTATAGCTGTACCACTTCACATTACATCTCTACACGATGCCGGCCACTCTCACGCAGGCACAGGAACAGAGCTGGCAGCTGTGGAGGGCTAACTGGACCCACTGACCAACCATCAAAAGGCCCATGGAGTTCTGTGGGACAGTCTGACTGGGACAGACTTTCAGCTCAGCTGGGGGTTTCACGCAGTCGTTCATCCGAGAGTACGTGAGCGTCTACTCGGTGCCCAGCACAGTTCCTGCCCCTGGGCACACACAGCACAAGACACTCAGGGACTCCCTTCAAGGGGCTCATACAGACCGAGGGCAGGTGTGGACGACGGACACAAATGTAAAGTATGGCTGAGGTCACTGCTACGGGGAGAAGCGAAGAGGACGAGTTGGGGAGGGGTGACATTCTATAAACATGACAGTGTGGACACGACAGGATCAGGTTTGCATTTGGAAAGGTCACTTTAGGGCCACATGGAGAATAGAGGGGAGGGTAATTTGGTATCTCTGGCAAAGACCCGTATCTCATCCCAGAAACACAGTGCACTGGCGACAGAGGTGGGCTCCAGACCACCACCTCCAAGATGTAGCGTTCCTTAGAGTCCAGATCGGAGCTGAACTAAACACCACAGGTTGAGTCCACATGTAAAAAACATCTCCGTGTGTGTGTGTGTGTGTGTGTGTGTGTGTGTGTGTGTTGAGTAGGAAAAAAGGGCAAAACAATCTAAATGGCTGCTAACACTGTTGCCTCAGGGGAGAGAAGAGTAGTGGCAGTTACAACTCTTCTTTAGACATCGGTGTAAGGAACACTTGTTACTATAAGCAGGAACTATATTAGTAATTTAAAATATCCAATAAAAAAATAAATGAAAAAACAAAGATTGGAACAAGTTTAAAAATCAAAGGAAGGAAACAATTCAAAGAGGCTACCTCCACAAAACAGAAAAACAAACCAACACCGGACAGTGCACTGGGAAGCGAAGAAGGCAAGAAGGGAATGGAATACAGGCAGGAGGTCGCGTCTGGGCAGAGGCAGGGACACTGAAGCGGGGGTCAGGAGTAGAGAGTGGGTTCAGCAAGGAGTTCCCATCTTCTCTGTGACACCACAGGGTCACCTGCTGGGTGAAGGAGGTCAGGAATTTCAGAGAGGAAAGCACAGGAAACGTGAGGGAGCTTATGAGAGATGGCTGCCTACAGCTGCCAGGCAGTGGGGGGTCCCCTGGAGACCCGGTTGCAAATGTATGGAGATGGCCAGCGGCTCTGCTGGGAAGCTCTCTGCAGGCAGATCCGGCTGCTCAGGTCCAGGGAGGGAGCGGACGGTGTTGACAAAGGGCTCCTGAAACGATGGACCCTGAACCCCAGCTGGACAGCACGGGGAGCGATATGGGCAGACGGACTGGCTGTAGGAGGGAAGACCCACAGAGGCAGGGCTTGTTTCATTCAGTGATGGAACCCAAAGTGAGAACAACGCTTGGTACAGAACAATAAACGCTTACAGCAGACGCCCAGTAAATAATGATTGTCAGGATGAAGTGAAGAAAATAAAGGTCCTGGTAATGTCGAAAAATGGCTAAAACTAGAGAAGCTAAAGAAGTAAAATAAGAGATGGGAAGAAAATAGCTCCAGTCTTAGGTTTTTAGGCATAAAAAGATTTTTAAAACTGCCTGCATTTGGCAAACACTCATTTATGAAGTCAGCACGCAAGAGAGGAGTTCTAAAGAACCACTGTTCTCATCATTTTCATTCAAACTGGCGAGTCCTCAGATTATTGGACTCTGCCGTCAAAATCAGAGGAAGCTCTTCCAAGCTTGACTTCAGCTCAGTGGCTCCCCCTCCTCCCAAACAGAAGAGGTGGGACCAGACCCACGCCAGTCATTCATCATCCAGTTACTATCTCACCCAGTACTCACTGTGATATGATTGTAGATCAGCTGAGACCACCCGAAGAGATCGGCCAGTCTGTAAAATGCTGCCAGCTTACACCGCAGTAACTTCTCCCCTTTGTCATAGGCAATAGAATCAGATCCTCTAAGGTCGTTCACAGGAGTTACCATACCAAGACCTGAAATAAAGAAATACAAAGCACAAAGATTTAATATGTCTTTACAAAAGTAAATCAAATAATAACAGTTCTGAGATGTTAATCTTCCATACTACACCATAAAGTCAGTCTCAAAAACTCAAAGACAATTTCATAAAGACCGTATTCCCCAACATTAATACAATTAAGTTGAAATCAATTAACAAAAAGGTAGCAAAATAGGTAGGATGCAATAAAGCAAAGCTCAGAAGGAAAATTACAGTATTAAACATTTATTTTTAAAAACGGTTTTTTTTAATAATCTAGGTTTCTACCTTATGAAACTAGAAAGAGTAAATTAAATCCAAGATTAAAAGAAAATAGGAATAATAAAAGTAAAAGCAGATCTCAAACAGAAAAATAATAGAGTAAATCATTGTCTTGAGATTAAAAATGAAATAAAATCATGAAAACAAAATAAAATACGCCTCCAGACTCATCAACAAAACACAGCCACGATATCAATTACCAGTGTGAGGAAGTGGAGAGGGGCCATCACTACACATCTTTCAGACATTGAAAGAATAAAGGCCCTGGTTGGTGTGGTTCAGTTGGATGGGTGTCGCCCGGTGCACCAAAGGGTTACCGGTTGATTTCCAATCGGGGCGCATGCCTGGGTTTCAGGCTCAATCTCCAGCAGGGGCGGGCGTGTTGGAGGCAGCCAATTGATGTTTCTCCCTCATCAATGTTTCTATCTCTCTTTCCCTCTCCCTTCCTTTTTCTAAAATCAAAAACATTTTTAAAAAAATAAAAATAAAAAAGGATAAAGGGATAATATGAACAACTATGCCAGCAAATTTTTTAACTTAGATAAAATAGACAAATTGCTTACGAGACACAAGCTACCAAAGCTCACTCCGTAAGAAACAGATATTCTGAGTAGCCCTATTTCCAGGCCAAATGATTTCACTGTGAATTCTATCACACGTTTAAGAAATAATAATACCAGTTCTACACAAACTCTTCCAGAGCACTTTCCAACTGATTCTGCCTGGCCCAGCATTATCTTGACACCAAACCACACAAAGACATGACATTACAAGAAAAAGACAGACCAATACTTCTCATGAACATAGGACTAAAAATTACTTAACAAAAGTTTAGCAAATAAACCAGCAATACATGAAAAGAACACATATGACTAGGGGGAGTTATCTCAAGAATGCAAGGTTAGTTCAGCATTCAGAAACCAATCAATATAATTTACCATATCAAACTAAAGAGGAAAACCATGGAATCATTTTAGTAGATGCAGAACAAGCATGTCAACATCCATTCAGGATAAAGGCTCTCAGCAAATCAGAAACAGAAGGGAACATCCTCAACTCGATAGGAGCATCTGCACAGCGGGCCACTACCATCAGACCTCATGAGGAAAGGGTGAATGCTTTCCTAAGGTCAGGAACAAAACCGTGTTTTAGAAGATTTTTCAAAAGATGGTGGCAGTAGCAGTATAGTTTTTGAATCTTCTTAAATCTCTATCCCAACCCCACACAAAAACTAACTGGAGCAACTAGGGATAACAAAACCAAAACCCAAAGATGATTTCTACGACACACGAGGTAATGACAAAGTGAGCCCGTGAACCAGAAAATAGAAGGGGCAGGGTTGTCGCAGGCAGAGCGCATGTTGTCAGCATGGACCATGTGCCAAACCTGAGACTCCCAAAAGAACCAACAAGAACCCACCTGGGCCCTACCTGGTTTGAATCAGAGGATAGAGCATTGGACTGAGGACTAAAGGGATCAGGGTTCGATTGTGGTCAAGGGCACATACCTACCTTGCAGGCTTGTCCCCCTGCCCTGGTCAGGGTGCGTGCAGGAGGCAACCAATCAATGTGTCTCTCTCGCATCAATGTTTCTCTCATTGTTTCTCCCCGTCCCTTCAACTTTTTCTAAAAATCACTGGGAAATATCCTCAATAAATAAATAAATAAATAATAAAAGAACTCATTAGGAAGCTCAGAGGGCCAGGTTCAGAAGGGCAGCTGAAATCAGAAGGAGCTCCGCACACTTTAGTCCACACTATCCACAACTGTCTTTCAGGAAAGTCTCACACTAAGAAATTTGTAGAAATCAAAACCCAAACTGAGCACCACAGACCATCAAGAAAAGAGAAGAAAAGGAAAACAAGGTCCCGATAAAAGCACTGGAGGGAGCAGAACCAGATTTCATTCAATCAGCTGCCATTTTTCAGCACTTCACAAACACAAAACAAGAGGGAGCTCTAGAGCCATGACTTTGGAAAAACTTTCCTGAAAACTAATTTCATGTAAAAACAAACAAAAAAATAGCATGCCCACACCATACAAAAATTACTATACAAAAAAGGGCAGAATCACATCCCTACAGACAACAAGACCACACAAGAAGACACGTCCACAAAACAGATGAAAATGATAACCTATTATTTCATAACAAGGTAGAGAAAGGCATTAATAACGAAAGTGAAAAAAACAACATTTAATACAATTAGGAAAATAAATAAATAAATAATAATTTTAAAAATAATTTGCTAAACAAAAAGTTGGAGAAAAATTAAAAATATTTTTTTTTAATCAAGGAAATGAAAGGGATAAAAAGGATTTGAGGAAAAGGACAATTATAGAAGACAAACCAAGAAAATCCACTATGCACATAACAAAAGCAAAGCAACAAAATACATACTAAACACCAATTCAAGAAAATATAGCTAAAATAGCGCTGGCCAGTATCACTCAGAGATTAGAGCATCAGCCCTTGCACTGAAGGGTCATGGATTCGATTCCTGGTCAAGGGCAAGTACCTGGGTTCAGGTTTGATCCCTGTTTCAGCCGGGGCTTGTGCAGGAAGTAACCAATCCTGTGGGTTGTGGGCTCGATCCCCAGCAGGGGGCATGCAGGAGGCAGCTGATCGATGTGGATGAATTGATGTTTCTCTCTCCCTCTCCCACCCTCTCTCTTTAAAAATCAATAAAAACAGCCCTACCCAGTTTGGCTCGGTGGATAGAGCATCGGCCTGCAGACTGAGGGGTCCTAGGTTCGATTCCGGTCAAGGGCACATACCCGAGTTGCGACTCGATCCCCAGTGGGGGGGCCTGCGGGTGGCAGCCAATTAATGATGCTCTCTCATCGTTGACGTTTCTATCTCTTTCTCCCTCCTTTAAAAATCAATAAAAACAGCCCTACCCAGTTTGGCTCGGTGGATAGAGCATCGGCCTGCAGACTGAGGGGTCCTAGGTTCGATTCCGGTCAAGGGCACATACCCGAGTTGCGACTCGATCCCCAGTGGGGGGGCCTGCGGGTGGCAGCCAATTAATGATGCTCTCTCATCGTTGACGTTTCTATCTCTTTCTCCCTCTTCCTTCCTCTCTTAAATCAATAAAAATATATTTTAAATAAATAAATAAAAATCAATAAAAACATATTTTTTTTTAAAAGAGGTTAATAGTGAAGAGGGTGGCTGACTGGTAAATCTGTTTATACTTGTGTGGTGGTTATAAAGGTGTTCATCTTAAAGTCACGTGTGAGTTATACATCATTTGTTCTATGCCATCTATATATGTTATACTTTACAAAAATGGTTAAAATTTGTTTCTAAGTTTAGATTTCTTTCTCCCTTTCTTTTTGTGGTATGACATTCTTAAAATAAAATTTCCTTTACCTCTGATTAGAAGACAATATGCAAGTAACTATATAACATTATTCTTTTCTTATCGAATTCATATGAAATGTCACTGGACTCCATTAAGAATCCCTATGAAAACCTTACTTAATACTATTTGACCTCAAGAGGGAGGTTTGAGGTAGCAAATTAAATGTCTCTAGAAGTTAGTGAGATATGACTCTGGTGAATGTCAGTCCACCTCTAAGAACACCATGGAACAGACAGGTAACAGCAAATGCCAGGCGACCTAACGGAAACCAAGACCTGGTGCTGGTCACTCAGAAGCAGACCATCCACTAGACCCACCAGAGCCTGACCCAGGCTCAGTACACAGGGGTCACATTAGCTGATGCTCCAGTGACCCTGGGCTCCACCTTTGACAACTAATCATTCTTTGCTCACATTCTCACATGCACCCAATAAATCCAACATTTTCCCTCTGGCTTTCTGTTGGAATTCTTCTGTTTCTCACTTATTTGCAAGCAGCAGTGAGGAATGGTGGGTAAGAAACGTTGGCCTGACTGAAATGAGTTCAGGCAAAATCAATGTGCTATCTATAACCATTATTTCTGCTCAGCTTAATTCACACAGGGTCTGAAAAGCCACATAAAAAGTCATGTGGCCCAGCTGGTGTGGCTCACTGGTTAAGTGTCGACTTATGAACTATGAACCAGGAGTTCGATTCCAGGTTGCAGGCTCGATCCCCAGTAGGGGGGCGTACAAGAGACAGTCAATCAATGATTCTCTCTCATCATTGATGTTTCTATCTCCCTCTCCCTTCCTCTCTGAAATCTATCTATCGATCTATGTATATATAAAATTCATCTGCCTGAAAAATAAGTCTCACTGGCTCATAAAAAAGGGAGCCCTCTACATTCAAGACATTTTCAGGCTTACAGCCTATTTTTTACTAAAACACATTAATTTTCAAAAAACTCCATTCTATATATTACATGTATTTCAGGAAATTTTTCCTGGGAAATGACAGCACGTACAGAGTCAGGAGGTACTCACTCATGTTCAAGGCAGCCATTCCTCCTTGTGGGGCCGCCGGGTAGACACTCGGAGCGTTTGTGGTCATAAAATCTGCAATCTGCTGTAATGCCAGGAGGCCGGTGGGGTTTTTCCCCTTCTTAAACTGTTCCTGTATCATTGATTCCAACTCTTCACAGAAAGCCTAGGAAACGGTAAATTCCAACAGTGAGACACCATTTCCTTTGTGTTTCTGGAGAAGGCAAGGGTAACTTTCACGCAGACTGAGTTGCTGTTTGTTTTCATCCAGTCCTAGGAAGGTGGGTGGACACTCTCATATATAACTACTTGAAGCACAAATTGGTACATTCTTTCTGGAAGGAATTTAACAATATAAAAGCTTAAACATTTGAGCAGGCATCCATCCTATTCCTAGGAATCCTTCCTAAGGAAATACCTAGGGATGTGCTCAAGATTTATCTGTAAGGACGTTCACCGCAGCAGTACCGACAGAAGGCAAAACAGGTGTGTCCACAGGTGAAAGTGCAGAAGACTAATGAGATACACGGACCCACCTGACCAGCAGCCGCCAACCTTTCGGACCTCACGGACCACAGTTGGCAACCGCTGCACCTGACAATGGAATGCTATGCACTTTCAACATGAAAGACCAAGTAAATGGCATAAATGTACTCTTGACATATATTTGAGTTAAAAGGTTATAAAGCAACACAACCAGTTCGTTTAAGAGCAGATGCATATGGAAACGTAGAAAGACTAAAAGTAATACATCAAAATGCTCACTGTAATTCTGTGACAGAATCACTAGTAATTTTCATGTTCTACTTTACGCTTCTCAGTATTTTCTTCATAATACAGTTTTTAAATTACTTTAAAGTTAAAAAAGAAATCCTAAAATACTCATCCTTTATAAAATAATCCTAAATTAGGCAGAAAGGTTAATATGTTGGGTTGATGGAAATTTTAACATGAAGTCACTACTGAAATACACATAATTTATAATTTCCCCAAAAATTATTAAAATAATTTTCACATATCCTATAAAGAAATAAATATTGTCAAATAATTATAAATAATATTTAATGTGAAAGTGTGAGTTCACTGATTATCCAGACCCGATTATAAGCACTCCAAGGGCTGCTGTACGGCTGGTTCTATGTTAACCTTACTTCTAGACTCTCACTGCTTGAGCTGAAAAGATAGGTTGCAAAGGGACAGACTAAGTACACCTGTCACTGGAGGGAAGCAAACAAAAGCAAATGCAGTGGCGTTAATTCAATGGCATAAAAGAATGCCAAGAGCCAGGAGCCCCTGCCTACCACACCATGCTACCTAATGCCACCCATCATACTCTGCGGTAGTCGAGGAGGGAGGGAAAAGCTGGCAGGGCCTTGGACTGCAAGGAAAAATATATCACCGACACATGGTTCTGGGGCCACCTTTGATGGCAATGCAGACTGCAGGGATACATAAAGACATGCACAGCTGTAGGTAAAGAGAGACACAGATGCCCTACTAAACCTCACCGAGTGTGCTGGGCACAGGGCATGCAAAAGCTGAGTTCAACAGCTCCCTGCCCTCATGGGCCCTCAATCTGAAAAACCAATCTATGTCCATGGTTTTCAAATCCACATACAGCTCTAAGGGAAGCTCAATTCAACATACACTACAACATGTGCTACACACACTACACTCTGCACTAGTCCTCTCTCTGCTCCAGGATCCCATGCTGCACTTAGACGGGACTGTAAGGGGACTTGGCTGTCCGCACAGTGCCTGACATACGAGGTGCTGGAAGTTTACTTTCTCCACTCTATCCCTAGTGATTTGTTGCTTTTATGTAGGAAAACTGTTCAAGCCAAAAGTCTAGATGTTAAACTGATTCTTTTTTCTTCTCATATCTTCCTCTTATTTATCCCACATTCAAAATAAGACTCAGATGAGCCTACCCTCTCCACCTCTACAGCAGCGCCTGACCCAAGCCACCGTCACCTCTTGCCTGGAAGACGGCTTTCTCCCTTGCCCCACAGGATGCTCCCTTCTCTACCCCGAAAGCAGACTGAGTTCTGTAGAAACTGAACCGCGTCTTTCCTGTCTGCAGCCCTCCAGTAACGAACGGCTGTGCTCTGAGTGCAAAACGAACCCCTGACCTGAGCTTCCCAGCCTTCCAGGACCTGCTCCCTCCTCCCTGTTCCTCCTAAGCTCACACACACTGGAGCCCACCAAGCTCGCCCAGGTGCTGGGAGTGCACATTTGCCCCTCCCTCAACCTGGAATGGTCCTCCCCATGCCCCCGCACAGCAGTCAGCTCCTTCCCCTCTCCGAGTTAGATTCACCTTCCTCCCTCAGACAGGCTTGAAGAGGAAGAGAAAGGAAAAAGATAAAAAGTATGAACAATAAAATGGCAATAAATAAATATCTGTCAACAACTGAACCTAAATATCAAAATAAATGAACAAGGAATCCAATGAACAAAATAAACTGAATAAAATAGAACCAGCCAGAGGCCTAGCAACATGGAACAGACTGACGAATCTCAGAGGGAAGCGGGAGGGGACGAGGAGGGATTACATGCATTACCTACAGACATCGACAATAGGGTGGTAAAGGCCTGGGGCAGGACAGAACCAGGTGGAGGGGGACCATGGGGAGGGTGGGTAGAAGGGGGGACATCTGTAATACTCTCAACAATAAAGATTTTTAAAAAAGAAAAAAAAGGCCTGTCCTAACCAAGTCATACACAACCTAGTCATCCAACTGTTCTGTTGGTTCCTTACTGCATATCTTCAACTAGAATGCAAACTTTGAGACTTCATCCAGGTGCTTACACAGGTGTTACATATATGTCAAAACTCATCAAGCCGGACTTAAGACCTGTGTACTTTACATTACACCTCAGTAATATGTGAATAACAACCACCAAACAAATAAATCAAGTTAGAGGCCAATTCCTTGAACAGCACATGAGATAATAAACATGAATAAAAAAGTCAGTGACTATCTGCCAATGGCATCCCACAACATGAAGATAGTAAAGTAAGAACAGATGAGCAGAAGGCGGTCCACAGGGCAGCAGCGTCCCCATGAGGGAAGATAAAAACAGCTCCTCTACCTAAAGATGCAAACAGAAGACACTTTGTTGGGGTGACTGTAGTTCAAAAGCCGATCAATCAGTAAATCAGGCACTGCCGAGGCCTACCATGGGCCCGGCCCCCAGCTAGGTATTATGGAGGAAACAGTCCTTTTTAAAAGGTGCCATAAATAAAGACTGAGAAGCAGTGAGAGTAAAAAGGAGAAATAAACACCTGCTACCCTTTATGACACTGAAGATTTCCCCCTGTTGTCTGATAACTTGAACTAAACGGAGTTCTCTCAGCAGCAATACATACATGGAGGCGCTGATTGCCTGTGTTAAGACAACCTGACTATGACACACACAACAGCGCACCGGAGGGCAGCACTGGAGAAGGAAGAAGATACTTGGAGAAGCAGCTGCTCTTACAGGACTCTGCAGAATCATGGACACTCTCTTCTTCTGCTCCATCATGTTGAAGTCCTGGCGAAGGTCAGGTGCCATGTTCCTCTCTCGCAGGTATTCTGGATTATTCTCATCCACCCTGTCGAAGTACCTCTCTTTGTGAGGGGCTGTGGTCGGGGGTGGTGAGGTCACCACTGCAGCCTGAGTATCACCATTCATTGCACAATCTTTCTAGGTTCCTACAGAATAAAAATGAAAGAAAGTATTGTTTCTGAATCAATGTGCAACAGCATTTCACAATGAGCACGCCAGCCTGATAAATACATCTGCAGCGTGAGGACCTCTGACTGCCTGGCCATCGGAGCCATGACGTGGGAGGCTTCTTTGTGGCCCTGGCTGAGCAGCCATCTCCACCCTTGCACCAGCCAATGGCATTTCTTGTCCTTGCCATTGTTCTTCAGCAGACAACAGAACAATCTAACAAAGCTACTATGTCTTCTCACAACCTGAAGGACCAGATAGCAAAAATTTGACAAGACAGTTTAAAGTCAGGACATTATCCCACAACTTCATTTCTGGAGAAATTTGATTTATGTTATTTTTCTAAAAAAGTTTCAGTAGTGATTTTTCGAAAGATTCCCTAAATAGATCAATAAGGGAGAAGGCTGCTCACACATCTATGCACACAAATAAGAAATGACCCTCTTCAGCATCACCTTTTTGGTTCAATAGCAGGTACCGAAAATGTCAACATGCCCTACTTTGTGAATAAAACCTAAAAAATGCCCCAAAGGCACAAATTTAAGTCTGCTAATATGTGCCCAGCACCAAGAAGGTACTGACTTTACATTCTTTTTAACCCCAATCTTTTATTTGCAACTAGAGGCCCAGTGCATGAAATTCATGCAGGGTAGGGTCCCTAGCAGCTGCCAGCTGTCCGCCGGGGCCTCCCTTCCCCAGCTGGTGGCTGGGGCCTTCCTTCATTCTGCACTGCCCCCTGGTCAGCACCCATCATAGTGAGCGATCGAACTCCCGATGGGTTGAACTCCTGAGGGGACACTTTGCATATTAGGCTTTTATATATAGATAATGTTCAAAGATACTAAATTATGTTCATCTTTAACTACTAAATCTCTAAACCAAGCATGTCAAACTAAAAGGTTAACAAGGGCCAAATAAACAAGGTTTAAGTTTATGTGGGCCACAAAAACACAAAAGCTTCAATTTTCATAGAAACGTACGTTTATTTTGATAGAGACATGCTGAATTCAAAGGGCTGAAATAAATGAGTCATCGTTAACATAAGATAATAGAACAATTTAATAAATATTAATATTTTTCTTGAATATTAATTTACCAGACACTGAATAACTGCACAAATTAACAAGCGTAACACAAATAAAGAAAAAAAAATACTTTGTGGTACCAACAGCCAAAGAATCAATTTAAGAAAACTTTTTTTTTTAAAGAAAAAAATCAATTTGGACATTGCCCTTCTAAACCTAAGGATATGATAGAAATAACAGCAAGCTTAACGTAGCAGTATTTCAAGGACTGAAAGACAAAGCATGAAAATAACAGGGGACTAAAAGTCAACACAAAATAAAAGAACCGATGACCTAAAATGTAGTCTTTAAAAGTACTGTTCTCTAAATGCTTCCTTTAAAATTTTACTGTTGCCCTGACCAGTTTGGCTCAGTGGATAGAGCGTCGGCCTGCAGACTGAAGGGTCCCAGGTTCGATTCCGGTCAAGGGCATGTACCTTGGTTGCGGGCACATCCCCAGTGGGAGGTGTGCAGGAGGCAGCTGATCGATGTTTCTCTCTCATCGATGTTTCTAACTCTCTATCTCTCTCCCTTCCGCTCTGTAAAAAATCAATAAAATATATTTTAAAAAATAATAATAATAATAATAAAATTTTACTGTTTACTTTAACCTAGTTTGCTCTAAAAGAACAACCCAAGAACAAAACAATAATGGTTGTCTGACATTTCTCTAGAGGTAAGTGAAGCTGAACATTCTGAGCCAATGATAAAATGTTCTACAGTTTTGTTTTGTTTTAAAGACAAAAGGATATACAGTATATTAACTTCTCTATTACTAAATGAGTCCTGCACACCGCCCACTGGGGACTGAGCTTTCGAAACCCAGGCATTGCTATGACCAGGACATTTTAAGACATTTCATCAGTAAATAGGAACACAGAAACACTTAAGAAGCAACCAGAGCTGGTTCCTGGTTCCCAGAGCTGACTGGAAGAAAAGAAACTTTGTAAAACCAACATGCTAAAGATAAGGCAGAGACTGCTCCGTTTTTATTACAAATTGCTGTGTGAATGGGATAAGGTAGACTGCAAACCAGATATACATGTATTTCATTCCTTTAATAAGGAAGTCTATAAACTTAAAATACACATATTCTGAGCCCAATAATTAAAAATAAACATTTCCTGGCCAGGTGGCTCGGTTGATTGGAGCATCTTCCCGTACACCAAAAGGTTTTGGGTTTGATTCCCAGTCAGAGCACATACCCAGGTTGCAGGTTCCATCCCCAGTCGGGAGGCAACTGATCAATGTTTCTCTTTCGCTCTCTTTCTCCTTCTCCCTCTCCCCTTCTCTCTTAAATTAATTTTTTTTAATTTTTAAAAAAAATCCTCGGGCCCTAGCTGGTTTGGCTCAATGGATAGAGCGTCAGCCTGTGGACTGACAGGTCCCGGGTTCAATTCCAGTCAAGGGCACATGCCCTGTTTGCAGACTCGATCCCCAGGAGGAAGCGTGCAGGAGGCAGCCAATCAATTATTCTCTCTCATCATTGATGTTCCTATCTCTTCTTCTCCCTTCCTCTCTGAAATCAATAAAAATATATATATATTTTTAAATCCTCAGGTGAGGATTTTAAAAAAGAGGTTATCTCTGATAATCTCCTTTAGAAAAATAAATGAATAAATAAGTAAACAAAGAATTCCAGTTTTAAAGTACAAAGTCTATAGTACTTGGTTTTCTGTCAGTTATGGCTTCAGGTTTCACTAATTTAATTTTAAGAGTGTGTTAAGACAGCAAATTTTTCCTAGGAAGAACTCTACAAAAAATTATTACTTAATCCAATATTTTTTTATGGAAAAATACAGATTAAAAAAAAAATTCTCTAAATATGGGGCCAGGTGGGTACTTGAAATATGGGGGGACTTACTCTGTATAGTACATGATTGTCTAACCACTGTGTTGTACACCTCAAGCTAATACAGAATAATTGCAAACTGTAACTAAAAAAAAAGAAAGAAACCAGATTCAGGCTTTCAAAATAGGGTGAGGCAAAAGTAGGCTTACAGTTGTTTGTATGGAAAATAATACAATTAATAAATATTAAAACAAAAATAAACTCTGTTTTGAGTAATCACAACTCTAAACCTACATTTGCCCCACCCTGTATTTTCCCCACTTTGGGGTTATTTTAATATCTGAGTAGGTTTATTTTTTATCTGAAAAAACAATGGATTCCATATCTGGCTTAGGAACACTCTAATTAATAAATCTCAAAGAGCAACAGTTTTACTTTGTGCCATGCCAAATAACAAGATGAAATCCATCTGGAAATAAATGTTAAAAGTAGCTTTTTGTTTTGTTAAGAAAAAAAAGAATTCTGGAAACTTAATTTTTAAAATAGAAACAATCAATGTTTAATACACATATGACTTAACATAAATATTAAAATCTCAGTACCATATTATAAAACTAAAGATTCTTCATTACAATACATATGAGATTATATAACACTAGAGGCCCAGTGCACAAAAATTTGTGCACTCGGGGGGGTGGGGAGGGGGGTCCCCCAGCCC